TAAAATTGGTCTAAAATAGTAACAAGAGTAATAACATTGATTTGGGTTCAATCGAACGTTAATTTAACCTATCGCGTCTCGGGTCATTACATACTCAAAAGTGATATTAATGATTCGAGAAGCAATTCTACCACTTCCCAAGAGAGGTAACTCCATAATAGGGAGAAGGTTTCGTTGGTATTTTATTTCCATTTATTGAGACTTTGTCCCATCGATTCATAAATCCTCATGCAATGAATTTGAGTCAATTGATGGTTTGCGAATCAAGTCTACCCCTCACTTGATCTGTTTCATAGTAGGGAGAGGCAGAAAGGACAAACATCCCCCGAAAACACTCTGTTTTAAGGTCAGCCGGCAACTTTATTTTATGCAGACAGTACCATTTTCATGACAGAACAAAACAGAGGCTGGGGTGAAAACAGATTATTTTTTTGACTGTAAAACAAAACAGTTCTGGCAGCAAAACAAAGGTGTTTTTCGGGAGATGTTCCTATTCATAAGCATACACAATTCTTTACTTCCCGTGGCTCATGAAGTTAATGCTAATTAGTAGAATTATTTAAAACTTGTAATAGCTAGATCATTAATTAGTTAAATTCCTTTGAATTTGTAATAGCTAGTTTCTTAGTTAATTCATTCCATGTTGTAATTAATTAATTAGATTCATTCAATTTGTAATAATTAGTTAGTGTAGCTAATTTATTTGGTGTTGTAATAGTTAGTTTAATTAGGACACTCATTCGAACCCTCTTGCATGAGGCCAAAAATGTAAAATTATGTATGTCTTTCAACCCCCATTTCTTTCTCTTTTTTATTTATCCGCTTACTATGGTTGTATAGCATCATGTTTTACTTAAAATTTTCCATGACTTGCATCCATTTGTCTTGCATACATAAGGGTTCGGCTCATCATACTAATCAGTGTCAATTTTAAATTCCTTACTCGAATACGTGCTTTGTTGCATGCCTTAAATTGACTCACATGCCATGCTAGTAGCCGAGTCCATTATTGCATATCGTATGCATTGCATTAGTCATATTGCATTGTTTAGGAATATGCATTTCTTCTAATTATTTTATCTTCTTTGCCTTGCCTCGGAGTACTAGGTGAGCATTTATTACTTTAGCATATTGCATGTATGTCAGTGTTGACAATATCAAGTTGTTTACTATAAGGCTAAGTGCTTAGTTAATATATCTCTTGAATGCTAGTGGATGAAGGTTTTTTCACTTAAGTTGGGATGATTTGATTAAAGCACATATGAGATCACTTTTTCAAATGGTACATATTCAAAACACTTTTCAAAACAAACATGAAATCAAAACGTTCCAAAGAGGGTGAATTAATCTATACTTATGTGCCACACATAGTAAAGTTAGTATTAATAATCGGAATAAGAGCATATAATGTATATAAAAATTACATCATGATTAGTAGAGGCCGATCTTTGATCAGGTGAGTGGGTTGCTCAATTGATAACCTTCCCCTCTCAAACCTAAGTTCCTGAGCCGAGACACTTTGGTGATGGCGGACAAGTGGCCTTTGACACGAGTCACAGGTTTCCTAAATTTCTTAAAAATATTTAGGTGGCGACTCTGAAATCTGGCAATGCGATTCATTTTTGTCATTTTTAAAGATAAATGGATTTTCTAAAATGTTTTGTCAAATTTGGACTCATTTGTGTCTATCTGTTTTACATTACACCTGTGAAGCCAGATTCAGAACCACGGGAGTCCGAACTGTAGGGCCATCGTATTCGAGGAGACTAAACCCCTCCGAGGCGCACGAAAAGCAAGCTACAAGGAGCATCATCAACTACCATGATCGGCGATTGTTGGGACTGAGCAGAAGCAGTTGAGCCGGAGACAGTCTAGGAGGCAAAAGCTAACTCACCTTTTCATTTGCACTTTTGAGCAACGAAAATTTCTAAAAAATTCTTCGGCGGCATGATATCAAAAACAATAGTCCTAGAACTAGATAATTCCTCTTGAGGCTCCTCTTCTTCGACCATGAACTCTTTGATATTTTCCTGAAGATCAAGAAGAACATAGAAGTTGAAGTTGCCGTTGTCACCAAGGGGAATGTCGTCAGTGGCTACTACGGTGCCGTAGTAGGGGATGTAGGAAAGGAGCAAGTGAGCAGTTCGACTTTGTCCTTATTGTTTGGGAGGACCGCTATACGCCCAAACTTGTTCGAGAAAGGGGATGTTAACTTGATCTTCTTACTCACTTGGGTGAGAAAAAACTTCGGGGGCTGAAAAGGAGAAACGAGAACATCAGTATTAATCCCATGACAGGCAAGTTCGTGAGCAAACAAAAATGAGAACATTAACTTGGTTGGCCGATGACCTAAGGGATAGGTTTGACTCTGTCAGCGCCAGGAGGGACGAAAGGATGAAATCACAAGAGAAAAAAGAAGGAGATGAACTTTAAAAAGAATTGACTGGGACTTCAAATGGTAGAGAAAGAAAAGGGGTATGTCTGAGCTTTTGAAAGATGGCAAGCAAAGTGATGAAGGGCATGGGACATCTCCTCATTTAATGTGTCAGAAGTGAAACAGCGCATAGAAAGATGATATGACCGATGTCATCATTAAAATTGCAAGCCAAAGGACGCATGTCACCAATGAAAAATGGCTCAACTCTGTATCTAATCAACTTATTATATTCTGCAACTGCCCCAGGTCAGCTACCGAAGGACGACAATTGCGAAACAATAAAATGTTGGCCCAAGTCCAAAAGCAATTGAACGGAGCAACCTAAAGGAAAGGAGGTATCCAGGTAGATTTCTAAAGAGTCCATTAGAGACAACTGGTGGAACCAAGGCACGTGACTGAGTGCATGTGGCGTAAAGATTTCCTTCTAGAAGAAGATCAACAGAATACCAGGGGATCGCTGGATTTATCTTCATCTAACAGTGGAAGCAGCAAATACAAAGACATAGGCCAAGCCTACTAAATAACACAACCGTCGGATCAACTTGATCGGACGAACATAACACTTGGCAAGTTGGCCACTAGCATCTAATTCGATCTAAGTCATCTAAGAAGGGATGATCCAACGATTAAAGATGAAGGTAACATGGCCACTTGCCTGACCAAACCCAGAAGTGGGCAGAACCCTTAGATCAAACATTGATCCAACCATGGGATTTAAGTCAAGAATGCTATAAAAGGCGAAACAGGTGAAGCGAAGAGGGTAGACCGGAGGTGACCCGAGTAAACCCTCTTTTCGCTATAAATTCTCATTGCCAAACAGTATTCTGACTCGACCATCGAAGGGTCAACCCTAGTCGGGAGTGGTCATTGACATTTTGGTTTCTCTTTACGAAGTATAGAAGGGACACATCATCTCACTTTCCCTGTGGAGAAGAATTCTACCTTCCATAGAAGATATTTCAGTTAAATAAATTTATTTTTCATTTTTTTATAATACTAAAGACAAAAAATAGAGTTTCTTTTTTATATATATAAAAAAAATGTTTTCAGCTGCAGCAGATAGTGGTATTGGAGAGTGTAGTATAGGCACAACATAAGAAGAAAAAAGTGAAAGCAGCTAATTGCTGTAAGATTAAGAACTAAGCATTAAAAAAGATTTGATACACATATGGAAGCTGAGTTACAAGCCAACTAGCCAAGCAAGTCCACTGAATCTGTACAAATTTATTTCCAAGGATGGAGACTTGGTATTAGTTTGAATTAATTAATTTAAGAAGAAAAACAAAAATATATAACTATGGGCCGTTTGTTAACATTTTTATTTTTTGTATTCTATTTTTGTTTTATTTTATTTTTTTGAAAACTAAAAGAAAAAATTTGCTTGATATATTGTTTTCATTTTCAAAAAAATAAAACTAATTTCAAAATTTTCAAAATTTTTGAAATTACAAAATGTGTTTTTACTTGTTTTTAAAACAAGTTTTTACTTCCTTCTCTCACCCACCACTTTTGGCCACAACCCATTGCTACCACCACAACCCACCTTTGTGGGTAGCTAGCTCCAACCAATCTCCAAGGACTCTTTAGCGGGTTGGTGGTCACTGTCGTGATTTTTAGTCATCTTTTGACAATTTTCTAGACACCTCGTGGTTTCCGACGACATCTAACTATTAACTCCAACAAACACCTCCGCGAAAGTTTTTAGTGTGGATGTTTAAAATTTTATAATTCTTATTTGATATAAGGGAATTTGATATCCACTACTATTGGGCACCACATTTCTCCACCTTCCAACTCCAACCACCAACTCTGTCAACTCATCAAATATATTTCTCTATATTTACTTGTATTAATTTTCACCAAATAAGTTTTCTATTTTTATTTTTGTAAAAATAAATGAAAACTTATTTCTTAATTTTTATAAACGAAAAACTGAAAATGTTAACAAATGAACCCTAAATGTTTCCCTAGATATTATTATGCTATGAAAAGCTAGTATCTTAAAAGAAATATTATGGAAAATTCTTCTTTATGTTTTCCAATTTACTTTTTTAGTTAAAGGAGAGAGTTTTGGTAGTGGTGTCTTATAGTTTACTGCACAATCAAAGTTACTATAAGGGTTCTTTTAAGGAGATGGAGGGCCAAGTCCCAAATTCAGAGTAAAATGTCCAATCATGCTTCACCAATGCCCATGTAGAGGTCTAGGGCAGCGCCTCCGACCCAATGTTTTGGAGGTATTCGGCGAAAGTTTTTAGTGTAGATGTTTAAAATTTTATAATTCTTATTTGATATAGGGAATTTGATATCCTTTTATATTTGAACGCAAGTATATTATCAAATCTCGTGTATCGTGTATGTTATTTTTTATTTGTTTCTCTTTATTGTAAGTGTCATAATTTACAATTAAAAATCTTAAGTGCTAAACTATTGCACATGTCAAAGCAATATCTCTAAACAATTACAAATGAACGCAAACTAAAGAAACATCCATACTTGCAGTGCAATCAAGCTAATTCTAGTTAGGAAAACGTTTCAAGAAAAATTGAATGCAACCCAAAGGAAGTCATTTAAACAAAATACCAATTTTCCATACTCAAATTTAATCTAGTAATGCATAGTTTCCAATCATATATGTTTAATAAGACTGCCTCAATTACATGAGCAATTGAGGATCTCATCAATTAATTTGCTTAAATACAAAGCATTTGAAATAAAACCATTTAAGGTTCACTTACATTCAAAATGATGGAATTTATGCATTGATCACCTGATGGCATAGGCAAATTTGTAGGGTTTGTGTCAATTCTATGATCTTCATTTGGCTTATCTTGTGGACACAGAAAAGGTTTGGGGGGCATCTGCAGTTGTTCAACATTGCCTTCAAGCATCTCCACTACTCTGTTCATTGAAGGACGGTCACTCGGCTTCATTTGTATGCACCACAGAGCTGTTACTACCATCTTCTTTACCAGCACCCTTTCCTCCTCATTAGTCTCTCCCATTTCTATCTCCCTTCCTGCTTTGAATTGGTCATAAATCCAAGAAGGGAAGTAAATTTGGCTTGTATGATCAGCAAAGGCATTTATATTCCTTCTCCTACCAGTCATTTCCATCAACAGCATTCCAAAACTATAAACATCAGCTTTATATGAAACGCCTCCGATATTTTTGTAGAACAATTCTGGAGCCATATAACCCATTGTTCCTCTTGCAGCAGTTAGAGTCACAATGCTATCATCTGTTGAATACAATTTTGCAAGCCCAAAGTCAGAAACTTTTGGAATGAAATTCTCGTCAAGAAGTATGTTGTGTGGCTTGATATCAAAATGCAAGATTTGCATATCGCAACCCCGATGCAAATATTCAATCCCGCGAGCCACTCCTAGAGAAATCTCATACATTTGAGTGCAACTCAAGGAGATATCTCTATCTTGAGAAAATATATACTTTTCAAGAGATCCATTTGGCATGAAGTCATATATAAGTGCTCGCTTAGATCTCTCAGCACAATATCCAATTAGTTGAACCACATTAACATGATGAATTCTTCCTATGGTAGCAACTTCATTGATGAATTCTTGTCCATTAGCTTTGGCCTTTCCCAATACCTTGATCGCTACAAGATGACCACTTCTAAGCTTTCCTTTATAGACAGAACCATATCCTCCTCCCAATTTGTCCCTGAAACCTTTGGTCATGTTCTTAATGTCTGAGTAAGAGTAGCCAATAGGCATGAGGTGATTCTGACTTCTTAGATAACTTTCAATGCTGTCGAACATCGAAAAATGCCTTGTCCTAAACTTTTGGATTAAAAACCCAAGTGCACATAAAGCAAATAAAATTCTTTGCGAAAGGATTACTCCTGTACAGAAAAATAATAGATGAGAGCTAAGAAGAATCATCTTTTGTCTTGACATTGTTAGAATTTGGAGGCAATTAGCCCAGGGAATTGCCAAACATCAGGTTAGGTTCGGCCAGGCTAGACTGAGACTAGGTTGAGGTAATGCATAGAAAACTTTTGTGCCCAAGTGCAGCCTAGTCTAACTTCACGCCTAAAACTCTCATACCAAATCTGGCCCAAAAATAGTATTACAATTTCGAGCCCACCCAACAAGCCCATATATTATATAAAAATAACTATTTTAATGCTTAACATCGGGTAATTTCAACCCTTAAAGTTTTATTCAAATTTTATTTTGGTCTCTATTGTTTTAATTTAAACAATTTGATCCCTATACGTCAAATCTAATTTTAATTTGGCATTATGTTCAAATTGAATATTAAAATTATCAATTTTGTAAATATTAAGCCATTACATCATATGTATAAACTTAGATAAGAATATTTTTCATCTTAAGTACATCTTCTTTATTTTAAATAAATAAATAAATCTATATAATAAGGCATAAAGCTTTTTGAAAAATGTATCAAAATGTATGTGAGATACATTTTGATCCAAGGACTGAGATTAATTCCAAGTTTGTATCAATGGCTTAGATCAATATATCTCCCGCCCAAAGACTCTCTCCCTAGAAGCATCGTTGTTGCCTTCCCACCTACCCATGTCTGCCTCCCTCCTTCCCTCTCTCTCTCTCTCTCTCTCTCTCCCTCTCCCTCTCCCTCTCTGTTCTTTTTCTTCTTGAATACTTCTTCTCATCTGTCCTTCACAGATACATCTCTCTCTCTTTCTCCTCAAAACTTTTCTCTCTTCCTCCTATTTCTTTCATACGTTACTCTCTCTTCTCTTGCGATGACCACCGCCGTCGCGACACCGACGACCACCGACCACCGACCACCTCCCACCTCTCCTCTCCCTCGCTGGAGACCCAAACCCGAACCCTTTATTCCTGTCCTCCTCCCTCTCTCCCAGCCATAACCTTAATCCCTTCATCTCGCGCTCCCTCATCCCCCTTTATCACTTTAGGGCTTTAAGGCTAGACCAAACTCAATCTGTAGAGGCAGTCTTGCTGTTCCTGTTCGGAGAAAACCCACCGCCAGTGGCCCAACATGGAACCTTGGCCTTCGCTCCAACGCCAACAGGTATGTATGTATGTATGTATGTATTTCACTTCTCTCTTTCAAATTCCATGGATTGTTTCAACCCAATTGGATTTCTGATATCTTCTTGCAAATCCCTCACTTCTTGCCCTCCGTTTTCTTGGAATTTCTGCCTTATTGATTTCGCTTTGTTTGATTTTTATGTGTGTTCTTTATGCTGAGTTGTTATACTCTCAATCTTTTGAAATCTATGCACCTTTTGAAGTTACTTATTTCTTCTTTTGCTTACAATCTGGAAATGGTTGTTATGATAAAATTGATTTTTGTAAATTGGTGATACTTATGTACACTTATAGAGATAGGTCAAAATTAAAGAAGAAAACTTTTTAACACTTTGCCATAGAAAACTGCACCCAGAAAAAATATACAACAAAACCACTCTTTTAACCAATTAAAAGCAAGGGTATTATTTAAAGGTGGGTAAATAAAATTAAACTTATAAATTAGTGCAGAAGTAAGAATCTCTTTAAGGATAGTAATTGTCATTTTAAGTAATTAGCATTGGCATCTTTAGACCTGTATCCTTTAGTGATGAAAAATTGATCTAAGAATACAAGAAGAAATTTTCGTAGTGTTCTTGGTTATGACTTATATTGGTTTTGGTTATGAGACTTTGTGGTATTTCTTTATGAATTGAAATGACATTGATTATGAGAAGCAGAATGGCAATGGGGGTGAAGAAAAGTGCTGATATGTTGGCTTATACTGCCATGGCCACAACATGTTTGATAGTTTGCCTATGAGAGACTTCTAAGTTGTTTCTTCTCGGTTGTCAAAATAGCACACACTCTTGGTTGTTGCACAGTACTTAGCGTAGATCAAACCCAAGAAGCTAGAATAAATATCATAGTCAAAAAGAACAATTAGCATGATCAACTATAAAAGCAAGAATGCATAAAAGATAAAGCTCACATTTCACACAGAGTAAGCACTCACGGTTTGTTTGGAACACGTAACTGCCCATTTGACTGACAAACAGAATCGTAGGACAAAAAATTAAGACCAGCTGAAGATAGGAAATATAATAATCAAAGAATAGAATAATAACCAAGATAGCTCACCTTCCAAAGATAACATTGAACCCATCTATTCTTACTTCCACAAGTGCATCAAAAGTCCCAGTTATATTGTATCATAGTTGTCAATTCAAGAAACAAAATCCAAATAGTGGAATTGTGAATCGAATTGAATCAAGAATCGTAAGATTACACATCAACTAAAAAAAATGATGATAGACAATTATATTTATTGAAAAACAAATTCCATATGTCACAGTGCTATGAAAGTAACAACACCAACTAATTTGAAAAATATTACCTTTATCAACAGGACATGTGGATCTAAATCCCACCAACAATAAAATTATTTAAAAACCACAATTTATTGGCAAATTAGACTTTACCCTGCTTAAAATTGCTAAAATTACATGATTATTAGAAAAGTTAAGCAATGAAAGCAGTTAAGAGTCCACCATTTAAAATATTATAGAAATGTAAGTAATAGAAACACCAAAATAGTGTTTCAATAAAGAAAACATTGTTAAATAAAATAATGCAGGACTTAAGGTATTTTTGGGATGTATTGCTTTTAAAAAAAAAAGGTATTTTTTGAGATGCATTACTCTGAGGCGTGCCACTAAGTGAGCCTCATAAATTCCACCCAAGTTGGTTTGATCATGTACAAAGACCAATAATACACCAGCAAGCAGTCAAGGAACATGAACTGAGGTAGTGAATAAAGCATATGATGTAAGTGAAAATAAAGCATGACGTAACAACAATAAAAAAAAAGAATAAAGCATAAAAGAAATCCATGGGGTAATTTGAATAAAGCATAACTATACACCCATGTATACATAGACATACATATGTCTGCTAGGGTTTGATTCCATGGTGATAGAGGGTGTTTGATGTATCTTGAATGTGTTTAGGTATTATGTTATTTGTTGTTGGTGATTTTTTTTTGTTGATGTTGTCATCGAATTTTGTTTAAAACGATTTATTGTTGGATTTTCTTTTATAAAGGTTAAATTTTTATAGGTGGTAGTGACAATTTTTTGAGGCTTTTGTTTGGAAATGAGAGAAACTGCCACATTTTTGTAGGAAGAGTATGTTATTGTATTGTTTTTCAATTATGTTTTGATTTGCACTTTTTTTTTAGCCAGATGTTTATTGTAATTTTGATGTGAAATAGTAGAAATGCTTCTGAAAACCCAATGCATAAATAATTGCCACATTGTAATGTGATCGCTGCCTCCTTTGGGTTTGATTGGTGTGATTTGGGTTTGATATTTTTTCCCCTTCTCTCTCTGTTCTTTTCCTTCATTTCATGAATACATACATTTTTAGGGTTGTTTATAACATTCTTGGGTTTGATTGGTGCATTTGGGTTTGATATTTTTTTTCCCTTCTCTCTCTATTCTTCTTCATTTCATTAATACATACATTCATGAATACATTGATATATTTGATGAATCTTTTTTCTCTTTGTTTCACTTTTTCAGGTTGGTGATGATATACGGATGATGATCCAAGTTAGGTTTTTTTCCAATCAATCTGTTTCGTATGAATAAAAATTTCAGCATCGACAACCACCCTCCCTTCGAACTCGCACTCGCAAGGTTCAATTTCTGTCTCTCCCCTTCTCTCTTTGTGTTTGTTTTTACCCTAATGACAGTGAGTCTTTCTGCAACAAAGCATGGTGCATTTCCCTCTGCAATGCATATCCTTTTTGGTTTTTTTCCTTTCTATCATGGACAATGGGATTTTTGAACCTTGATATCTGCTACAATGGCCACAAGGCATCATTTGGCCATGAAATCTATTAGGACATCCATCTTTAGCTAACTTAATTTTGGTTTTGTGTTGTACAGACCTATATGTTTAAGTATGATAGTGTTTATGGTCAGTGGAAAAAAAATGAGCTTAAGGTTCAGGATTCTAAGTCCTTCTCTTTGGTGACAAACCTGTCACAGTCTTTGGTATGAGATATTATAAGCTGATTTTGCTATCTTTATGTTTCATTTTATTTTCAAAATGGCACCCTTTGATTATTAATAATTTATTTTTTGATTTTATTTAGGAACCCAGAGGAAATCCCATGGGGTGAAGCTGGAGCTGAATATGTTGTTGAGTCCACTGGAGTTTTTACTGATAAGGACAAAGTTGCTGCCCATTTGAAGGTTTGCCTTTATTTTTTTGCTTTATGGATTGGTATTTTGATTTGTGTGCATACTTTCTCTGATATAGTTGAAGAGATATATTTGTCTGGCTTTCATCAATATTGATTTCTGTTTCTTTTATTTTTTTAAATGGAGGTGTTGCATGTTGAATCTGTTTTCTTCTTTGGCTAAAATACCAATGCTGGTACAATGCCCCACTCATGAATTTTGACTTGACATGTTATGCTCAATTGGGCAATGTTTGTTATTTTGTTGGCTTGCAAATGTTCATGACGGCATGGTTTGTTGATAGTATTGCTCTTGATTTTTTTTAATCACCAAGGTGGTGCAAAGAAGGTTGTCATTTCTGCTCCAAGTAAGGATGCTCTCATGTTTGTTATGGGTGTCAATGAGAAGGACTACAAGCCAGATATTGATATTGTTTCCAATGCTATCAACAAACCATTAACATTATCAATATCTAGCATTGGAAACATTATTATACCTAGTGTGTTAGTGTTTCCCTTCAATTACTATGCATTTGTCTACGCCATTAACATTTATTGTATACAGTTTTTATTTATTTATTTATTATTATTATTTTATGGTTAATTGATGGAATGCTTTCAATATATTTCAGAGAGGAATTTAAGGATGAGGAGATAGTTGATGTGAAGTCATTACACATCCGAAACTTCCTCTGAAGTTGAGTTTGTTGGTTAGTGCTTTGCTTTGCATTTAACAATTGTTAGGGTACTCATATCCAGCAATTGTTTCTCTATCTTCTTTGATTGAAATTCATTGATTACCTAGGGACCTGTCTTAAAAAGAGATGTAATCCTAGATTTAATAGTAAACCACTTGATTATCTTTTCATCTATTGTTATTGGTCAGTTTCCAGATAAAAGAAATTTAAAAACTATGTCAATATACTGTAAGAATGTGATGGATCGCAGCCCTCTAAATCTCCATTCTCAAATTTTCACAAAATCTTAAAAAAGGGTAAATTATAAATATGCCCCTGATGTTTGTAAAATATTCTCACTCTGCGGTGTTGCCTTTGAGTCAAACTTGTTGATTGGGATTTTATTTTATTTATTTGTTTTTATTTTTTGTCAGTCAAACTTGGTTCTTATGTAGTTATAATTTGATTAGCAGCAGTAGCACAAACTGGTGTGCATTTAAGTTTTAATTTCTTTTAAATTGCAGAGCACTGGCTGGTGTGCATTATTTGATATTTTAATTTTTTTTATATTTGATTTATTTGGAATTGTAGAGTATAGTCTGTTAAATATATTTCTATAAATACAATTTCTCTGTGTGCGTTGAAATGCTCTTCAAATTGAGGTGGTGCTACTTGGATCCTCTGATTATGCGTCTCTCTCTCCTCCTTTTCTCCTCTCCAACGCACACAGAAACCCCAATTTCTCTCCCAAGGTAATTCACAGATTTATTTGGAATTGATATAGAGTACAATCTATAATTCCAAACAAATCAAATATTATACATAGGTTAAATTTTGATCTGAACCTATGTATTATTAAAACAGAACGGGTTTTGAAAAATATGTAAAATGTATGTGAGATACATTTTAGATCAATGGTCTATATCAATCCTGAGAATATATCAACGACTCAGATTTATGTAGCTCCCGCCCAAACATTGGACCTCCACCCACCCATGTCTCCTCTCCTTCTATCTTTATCTCTCTCTCCCTCTCACCCACGTCTCCTCCTCATTCCCTTTTTATCTCTCTCTCTCTCTCTCTCTCTCTCTCTTCTTCTTTCATACCCTCCCTCTTTCCCGACGCTCCTGCTCTTCAGTCTCGGCTTCGAAGGTAAGATTTCTGCCTCTTCCTGTCGTCTTTATAATCTGAGGTTGGGTTTGATTGTTTATTTGGGTTTATCTGGGTTTATATTGATTGTTTATTTGGGTTTATCTGGGTTTATAACCTGTTTATCAAACAGCTTCTGCAATTGGGGTAAATGATTTCTTTCCTGAGGTTGGGTTTGATTGTTTATTTGGGTTTATATCCATTGTTTATTTGGGTTTATCTGGGTTTATAACCTGTTTATTTGGGAGCTTGATTTATTGTATTTGGTGCAGATTTTAAAGCTGATTTGAAATTGAACATTATAGGATTTTCAAATCGTTCAATATCAAAGTTAGAACTTTAAATCTGAACATAGTAAAACGCATGTAACATATTGCACAATTGGGGAAAAAACATACTGCCCAATTTGGATGTTCAGAACTTCTGCAACTGTATTTCTTCTTTTAAAGAATCAGTAGAGACACTAAACTCTATTGTATTGTACAGCTGTCTTTGATTGATCCAGGAAATAGAAATAATTTCATATACCAAGAATGTGTATTAGTTGATGCCCATATTTAATAATTTCATAGTTTTTTTGCATATTATTTGTGTCTATACATAGTAATTCTGCTAACTGTGTCTCTCAATCTAATTTTCTGGCTTGCTAATCAAACAGCTTCTGTGATTGGGGTAAATGATTGGCTTGCTAATCAAACAGCTTTTTTTTCTTTTGGGTAATCTCTTTTGCCCAAAATAAACCTACATTGTTCTTCTTGCTCTGTTGGCTGTTTTGTTTCCAATTGTGCACTCTGATTTGTGAAGTGTTGATTTGTAAAGTGTTGATCAAATGTTAGGTAGATCGGTCGACGCAACCAACAAGAAAGAGATCGGTATCCTCATCTCAATCAAACCCTACTTCCTTCTCTCTAAGTCCCTCCAATGTCTTCCTTCAAATCCCCACTTTCATTGGCTTCATCAGTTGATGGCAGCAGCAGCGATCGGATGGGTCTGTCTCACCACCCTTCCGGTGAGATTCACGTCATTGTTGGGCCAATGTTCGCTGGAAAAACAACAGCTCTCCTTCGTCGAGTCGAATCTGAGGGCAACAATGGCAGGTACTTTGTTGACTTTGTTAATTTCGTGAATTTGAGGGTTTTGATTTGTAAAGTTGGGGGTTCTGAGGGTTTTGAATTTGAGGGTTTTGTTAATTTCGTGCAATTTATTCTCAACACTTTTATGGTGTTATGTAGTTAAGAAATTCTGAATGTTAATTAATTGTACATGATAACAATGTGTTAATTTTATGTTGGATGCATAAAGAATTTTATTTTATTTTAACTATTATTTTGGGGCCAACCATGTAAATGCAGAAATGTTGCAATAATAAAGTCAAGCAAGGATACGAGATATGCGGTTGACTCGGTGGTGACACATGATGGGACAAAGTTTCCCTGTTGGGCGTTGCCGGATCTGTTGTCATTTAGGCAAAAATTTGGAGATGAGGCTTATGCCAAGGTATTTCAAACTTGAACCATTTGATTTGTGTTTTTTTTTTTTATAATTTTTTTTTTGGTTCAGTCTATGGTATCCCAGTTGTTCTATGGGCTTGGTAGCTTCATAAGTTGGATGTGTTTGATATATTGTAAGTGATATTGAAGTGATGTTATTATAATCTTCATGGTTTTATATAAGAAGAATTTGATTGTTTCATGTGGCTTGACATTGTACAAGTTACTTTTCTAATTATTGGTGTTGGAGCTAATTTAACTGGTAGACAAACAATCTTAACTGTTTAGGCTCTCTTTTTTATTTTTATTTTTAAATGTGAAACCAAATGCTATTCATGATTTTTTTTTTTTTTTTTTGAGAGTAGAACACAACAATATAAACATTAAACTAAGCAGAATGTCTTACATCAGTAGCAACATGATGAGCATATTGAACCACATCTCTGTCCACCTTTTCTAATACAACATGATGAAAACGTTTACAATAAGACAAAATATCAGTTAGAATGGATTGCAGACTCCAATCATATTCTTGATCATGGTGTTGGAGCAGCAGGATGAGGACTACGCAGTCTGTTTGTAGAAGCAGATTGCTAATGTCGTAATGCTATTCATGATTAACACCATTGCAGTCCTATATTTAAGTTTGGAGTTTTTTTTTTTTTTTTAATGCCTTTTCTATTATCTTCTAAATGTTGGTTACATGTTGGCAGCTGGATGTGGATTGGCATTGATGAAGCTCAATTTTTTGGTGACCTTTATGATTTTTGCTGCAAGGTTGCTGACCATGATGGGAAAACTGTAATAGTTGCTGGGCTAGATCGGGACTACTTGAGGTTTTTCTTACAGATTAATTCATTTTTTTTTTCTTTTCCTTGATGCAAATTCGTGACGGGCCTTTGTTGTGGTGTTTTTGCTTGATAATATAAATATTTTTCGTATGCCCGTGTCTAGGCATACACAAAATTCATGTTAAAGTCAATAAATTTGATAAATTACATTTTAAATCAATACTTTTAAATTTAATTATATTTTAATCTTATAATTAATTACATTATTCCTTTTAGACACGGGTATACACTAGGGTGACACATTACTTTCATGGGTGATACATTTTTTAATTTTTATGGGTGATACATTTTTAAACCTCCAGACCAACCCTGAGGACTTACCTGATTAGAAACCCATACTTTACGATAAATCAAAATTTTATACTCATCAAACACACCATAAATTAGATTTGTTCTATTTATTAGCCCATAAATCAGTAGTTTGAAGGTGTTAAAATCAGAAGGTGTTAAAATCTATTGCTAGATAAATTATAGTTGTTGCCAAGGATATGCGGGCGTAATGTGATTGGCTAGATGGAAAAAGCAAGCAAGAAAAGCGATAGAAAATGTAGTCTTAAAAAAAAAAGAAAAAGAGGAAGCTTTGGGTGACCCACCACCAACCCTGGAAAGGGGTTCGAAAATTTCACGTCTTCTGAGAAATCACAATACTGTATTTATTATTATTTCTATTTTTAGAATCTTAATTTATTTAGCTTTTATTGTTTGTTGGACAAACTATTAAATTGAAATTCTTAAACAACATAATAATTATTTATTTGATAGTATTATATATATCAATTGGAATAATTGTTAGTTTTTATTGAAATTTTTAAACAAGAAAATTATTATTTGTTTACTGGCAGTGGGAGTATTTAGGTGCTTCTTCGTGGACTGCATCACCAGAGTTCTGGATAATTTCATTGTTATTTTATTTGAGTTCTGTAAAACGTGTGGTATAAATAAAATTGTTTTAAGTTTTTTAAAAAGAATAGTATTTCTTTATATTTTTTCAATATTTTTGTCAAAACATCTTACGGACTCTATAAATTTTAATATAATACGTATGAATTACAATTGTATTTTGATTACAATATTATTTGCACCGTGCCTTCAGGCATGGGCATACGCTAGTAAATAAATAAAAGAGTAAGCAAATTATATATGTATATAAATATTAATAATCGAGTCAAATCAGGCCACAAGGAATATTTTCAAGTTCAACCCATTTAAAAAGTGGCCCTCAAAAGTCATCCCAATCCAATTCTATGAACTTAGATATCAATCTCAAGCCCTTAAAAAAGCAGGCATGGACGCTCATCAAGTCGGTGCCTACCCCTAATCCATCCCAAAATCAATTGAACAAAATTTGGATGGCTTAGGGAAGAGATATAATCCAAGTCTTCAATACTCGCAGCATGTGTGCATGGGCGGCTTAACCATTTTTGGGGGCCTTAAGTAAAATCTCAAATTGAGGCCTTTTGAAATTTTAATTAATTTAAGTAAGTATTTAATTTTTTTCACATTGGATTTTTTATTTGAAATTTCATTTTTTTCACTTTTTGAAATGCAAAACTACTAATTAAGTTCATTATAAAGTTTCCGTAACACATAGTTTTCAATTAATATTCATTCTTCTTTTTTTGGTTGTACAAGTTTTTATTTTATCTTATATTATTTCTGAAAAATTATCTAAGCCATCAATATCAGTAAAAATGTTATATTTTAGATATAATTTTCATAGAATGTTAGAATTTAATGACAGCCAACCTAAAATTAATTTAGTAATAAGTGAAGATATCACTAAAATATATAAAAACAAGCTTAGGATAACCTTAAAAAAATCCGAATTTAATGCTTAGAAAAGTGGTGATGTCATGTTTCTAACAGCGTTTTTCACCAATTTGCAAGGAATTACTTTTCAAATTCCATTTTCTTTGAATTTGAAAAGTAATACTGCATTTGATACTGCATTTGATTTTGCCACTTCATTTATTTTATCTATAATTCTTTGTTTCTTCCTCCCAATGGCAAAATAAATTTTCCCAGTCAGTCATTGAAAGAGGAGTAATTTACCTATAATTGAGAGCCCGAGATGCAAATAATCTGTAACAAAAATGAAACAAGTTTCAGTTGTGTGATTAAGGCAGTTATAAGAAACAAAAACTAATATAATAAGTAATCAACAGAGCAACTAAACATAATGAAAAATTCAATTATTCTTATCAATGATAATATCAAATGATAATAGGGTCGGGAGATCCAATCATTTCAACATCGCAAAGGCTAGAGATCTCAAAAAAATAGAAAAATGATAATTAGTGCGACAATGAAAGAATATTTACAATTTGATGGTGGTGCAAATCTCTTGTGTATATGGTACAAGTCTTTTTTGTATGTCAAAGTTTTTAGACAATCTTTACTGTATTAAAGCAAACGAATTTTGACAAACAGAATTATGTTCAAGTAGTAAATGTCAAACCAAAATTAATCGAACAAAAAATAAAAAAAATGACGAATTCTATTTTATTACAAAAACAAAACAGAATCTAGAAAACAAAAAGAAAATGAAACCAGAAAAATGGAAAAAGTACTTACAAAATTATATTTTTTCGAAAAAAAACAATCAAGTCCAATGTTTAACACTGTTTCCTTCAGACAGATTCATCCTCTCCACAGTACTTTCAAAACGTGGATGTCTATCTCTCGGGATAAAATGATCAACGACAAAAATATGCAGGAAGAAGAAGGATGAAAATTAAATGAATTTGAACAAATCGAGGACTACCTATTTATAGAAGAGATGGTGGTTGTTCGGGACAAAAATGAACAGATATGGAACCTGTTTGGGTTGGAGGAAAAGCTAAAAAGGTGAGTTTGGAACAAACTGCCAACGTTCAGAAATGTTGGGGTCCATTCGAAAACAAATTTGAATTTCAAACAAAAATTTAAATTCTAAACGGTAGGAATTTAATTTAAAAAAATAAAATTCAAAAGTTTTTTTTCCAAAAAGATAAGTATTGGACTGAACACCACCAAGCCCAACGCAATCTCACATTCGCACCCAAGCCCAATTCGAACGGGTGGGTGACAAAGCACAGTTGTTTTTAATTATGGGTCAAATCCCACTTTGCCTATAACTTCTCCCTCCACAAAACTTGGGTGCCGCTTGGGCCCTTCTCAAGATCCAAACTCAAGGCTTATAAGCCCACAACACATTTGCCTACCCAAGCATTATGGGACAAGCTTTTCTTCATCCCTTATGAAAAACTAACCAAAACACCATTTTTCATGGAACTTACTTTGTGTCATCCATTTCCCATTCATCTGATAACGGTTTTGTGCAACCAAATATATGATGTGAATCGTTATGCGGCAAAGAACGCATTTCCACATAAACCCACCAACTTTGGCGCATGGGTCCTACTTCCAATATTAGCCAAATTTTAGGAAAAATCTGTGTTTATCCAAACCATTTCTAACAATCTGTAACACCCCAAATTTATCATCCGTTTTAGAATTAAAACCCTTAAATATTTTCCAACGATTACAATGAATACCATTAAAGAACAAAGTATTTTACCTAAAATAATCTATTATCATTATACTATCCCAAGTGAAATATACATAATGAATAATAACAGTTCAGAGGAAAAGACAAAAGAGAATACAAAAATAAAGTGCCCTAATGGCGTATACATTTTCAAGGATAATCTTTGATTATACAAAAATGGACGTTCAGCCCCAAACCACAAAAAAACTTCAGAGCTTCAACAAGTAACATCTAGTGAGCCTTCGTGCTCCAGTTAAAAAACATCCATCGCCAAGTCACTTTGGCGAAACCACACCATCATTTTTTGAAATGTTGTTAGTTGGGCTGAGCTATTGCCCAGTAGGAGTATATAAATAATCGAAATGCATATGATCATGCCACGCACTTGTTACAAAATCTATATTTTCTCTTTTAAAACCAAAAATATTCAATACATGATTTCCATTCAAAGTCTCATTTGCAACCATAGGGTGGTAAATACACTATGACGTCCCAAGTAAGAGTCACAAAACCACACTCATATATATAAATTTATATGCAGAAAATACCCCCACATTTTGCCGACTATTAATACGGTAGGAAATGAGCACCCAAAATCATCGGTTTTTCCACTTTTACCAACTATAATACGACAAGACTAGTGGACACCCAAAAATATTTTCCCACATTTGTTTGACAATAAGCTCAAGATAGGGCAATTGGGCCCCTTAACTCCATGCGCGGTTACCAATACAATACAAAACCATATCCCAAAACCCGACTCAACTACCCACACTCATATGTTGTTTACCCGCTTTCAACATTTTCCAAACATCCCCAAGATTGCAAGATCTTAAGAGAAAATTATAATGCACATGATGCATGAGTTTTCAAATCCAATTTGCCTAAGGTTCATTCAATTTATAAGTAAGATTTAACAATAGCAAGAAACAAAAGGGTTTTTTCCAATTTCTTATTTCTACAACTCCAACATTCATCTATCTCAACACACTCTTCCAAGATGAATCAAAACTTACATGTCTCAAACACATTTGTAACAATCATTCACCCAATTTCGAGGTTTAAAGTCAATTGAACCAAACCCCATTATCAAATCAAGTTTTAAACAGTTAAAGTGTCACTGTCCATCATCAACAGTAATAATCAACAAGAAACATTTATGATCCTTTCCAAAAACATTAGGTATAAGCCCCTTTTGTTTATCAAACTCATTTTATATAACAAAATCATCTCATACATCTCTATAACTAATAAAATACCATATATGTACCTCAAATCGTAGATATACTAAGTTAAAAGTACCCCTACCTCAATGATGGAGGCAAAAAGGTGAAAACCCAAAGAGAACTTCAAAGAAAACGCGATTCAATCGATAGAAACGTTGATCTTCATTCCATCTCCACTTTTTGCAAGGAATCTAGGCTTCATTCTTAGTGATATGAGAGATTTTTAGAGAGAGAAAGCTAGGCTTTTCGGAGTTTATGAGAGGGGAAAGGATGAGGAAAAGAAAAAGTAAAAGAAATAATCTAAAATATAATTTTTAAGTTGCTGATATCGTGCAAACCGCTCTAGAAGTCTTTCCACCGCTCGTGCGGTGAACTCAATCTCTCAGAATTTTGATCTGGAAAACAAGATACTGGTTGCACCCTCTGCACTGCTTGAGCAGTCACCTTGGACACAACTAGTCACATACCTCAGCTCCTAAGGCACTCCCAGTACATCAATCTTATTTCCATATGTAACCATTTAAGTAAATATTATGTTTACAATGTAAACAAGGAAGTACCCCCCATTTAGACTCAAAGAAAAACACAAAAAAATCAAAATCCAAGTAAATCAAAAAGTAATTCTCCCAGTTTTAATACAAAAATAATTTTTTGACTGAAATTTTTAAGCTTGATGTTAAAGTAAACTGATTAATACCTCATAAAAAAAATCCCATAAAATCAAATTTGACTATTTAATATATAAAGAACAATTACCGTCAAAAATTATTTTCAAAATTGTATGTTTTGACAAATCCAATTTTTACACTTTGAAATTTTTCAAGCTAAGTCCGATCTTTTGGCATAAAACCTTTTTAATACAACCATCTTTATACGAAAAATAATAAGGGTCAGATCTTGACCCTAACCATTACACAATCCCCCATATGAATGGAATTAGATGACAACGGAAATGCGACAATACACAAAATTGTCGAGAGAGTATAAATCGAAAATCAAGACAGGTAGCTTTTTGCTTTGAACCTTCCCTAGTGATAACCTATCGGAGTTACTAGCTAACCAATGGACACAATGCCTTGAATTATTCAGCCGTTTGTGTAAGCGAAAACAATAGATTTCACACAAAGTATCTTTTGACATATCGT